ATAAATGTGTGTATATATTTATATGTATGTATGTGTGGGTGTGTGTGTAAACAGTTATCCTCGTATTTATATCTTTTTTTTTTTTTTTACCAAAGAGTAGTACTGATTCACACTGATTCACAGCAACCATTGAGATGAAAAACAGCTCCCAACATTTCTATAAGTTAGTAATAGCAAAGCAAACGACCAAATCCTCTAATCCAGTTTTTCCAAAGACTTTCAGGATGAATAAAACAAAACAACTTTTATTAATTTCAGTGCTAATAGGCCATTTAAAAAGTTTCTCCACTTATTAAATAAAAATTAAGATAAAAAAACAAATTTATTTCAAAATACTTGTGTTCGATTTGTTTTTTTTATTTTATTTTTGTGTAATTTTTATTCAATTTCCACTGCAAAATTGAAGAAAAAAAAAACGGCAAAGAAATGTATTTCAACACTTTACCCATCTGTAGTTTTTTTCCATATCTAGTTTCAATAGCATTCATGAATGTTTTTGCATGGTTTAAATATTTTTTTGAGAATTATGATTTGCACCCTATCTTAGAGGAGGAATAATTGGGAGCGATTTCATTGTGATAATACATATAAAAATGTACAAACCATCCAAGTATTATAATCATTGGCCAACAGTGTGGTAAGAGCAACTTATTTCATGTATGATTATTATTTTTAGAAATTCAAATATTGTTATAAAATATTAATACATTATTTTTAGTTAACTAATTAATATGACTAACCTTAATTTGATAAAATTTTCAAAATATAAAAATAAACTTTGGGTCATTATTTACAAAAAAATTGTTGTGTTTTTGGCAGTCACTCTTCAACCAAGCCGTACAGCTTTAATAGTAGTGGTTGTAAAATGATTGAGCATGAAACCAGCCAATAGGAGACAGGATACCTCTGGTCAGGGCTGGAAACCAATCAGAGTTCTCAGCCATCGTGCGCTTGTGCCATCTAGGCGGCCTCTGATTGGTGGGTGCTGTAAATGGGCGTACGTCACCTCGTGCGTCAGGTTTAGATGAGAGCTGTTGAAGAAGGAAGCGATCATCGAGAGAGAAGAGAACCAGAGGAGAAGGAGCTCGAAACTCATTGTACCCATTCTCACCTTCCAGCTAATATACCGGAGGAAAAACATGGCTCAGTAAGCTTTCTAAACTCATTTTACAAATGAACACAGTTGAACAACGTTTCCTTGTAGTCGAACGTTACATTTTTGATTTGACAGAATATAAAACAGTGTTCGTCATTTTTGGTATTTTAAGTAGTGTTCTTACTAAGTAATTGAAAAGCTTTTGTTCGAATTTGAAATAAAAAACTGACATGATTTATAAAGTGTAAAACTACACGGATTAGAGACCCACTAGTCCCAATGCATTCTGGGAAATGAAGTCATCCAGGGCTTGTGTTTTTTAGGTATTTGATTATACTAAAACAACCAAAACAGAAAGATGTAACAGTCTGTTTTAGTGTCTTACAGTTTGATGCCAGTACATCAGGTCCAGACATGACATTTCTCCTGTTTTCACAGAGCAGACATTGCACTGATTGGGTTGGCCGTCATGGGCCAGAACCTCATCATGAACATGAACGACCATGGCTTTGTGGTAAGATCCTCACTTTGTTTTGTTGACGCTTTTCTTAGTAAGTGTATTTTGTTTTGTCCTCCTCAGTAAGAACATCTCTGTCCAACAGGTCTGCGCCTACAACAGAACCGTGTCCAAGGTGCATGACTTCCTGAAGAATGAGGCCAAGGGCTCCAAGGTGGTTGGAGCCGAGTCCCTGGAGGACATGGTGTCTAAGCTGAAAAAGCCCAGGAGAATCATCCTGCTGGTCAAGGCGGGGCAAGCTGTGGATGACTTCATTGATAAACTGGTTTGTGTTTTTCTACCAAAAATCATGTTTAAAAAAAAAAAAAAAAAGCAATGCTAAATTTGGAAGTATTTATGAGTAAATATGGGGCTTTATAAGATAACCTTAACAAACGCACATAACAAACTGACCTAATTGCTTTTATTTTAAACAAATGAGCAGCAGTGGATCCTACTGCTGTTTAATGACCTAAATTACACCAGCAGCAAAATATCAGACCTCTTTGCTGCCCCTTATTTTATAAAGTAATACTAGAGGTATAACAATAAAATGTTTGGCTGCTAAATTTATGTTGCTTTCTTTCTGTCAGAATCTGCTCTCCGCTAATAAATAGTTTGCCAACCGTTGTTTAAAACAGTGCTCCTTTAGTTTTGCTCTCTGATGGTCAGTGTTTTTGACAACAGCCAGGTTGTTCTTGTAAGCCATGTTTCAGCCTGCTGACAGTCAGTGCTTGGCTACAGGCAGCCATTTCTTATTGAACTGGAGCGTGTAACAAAAGTAATTTCCCTCTGGGATTATTAAAGTATTTCTGATTCTGATAAGACTTGAGTGCATGGATCAGTTTGCTAGAAATGGGAACCTGTCTATTCTCCTACAATTTTCTCTTACTGATCTGCATTTCTATTTTTTATTTTCATGAATATATCATACAGATATATGTACAGAAGAGCTATATGTGTATATATATTTTATCTCTTTTTATTCTTATTTTTTATCTTATTATATTGTATAGTTGGATGTGTGTATATATCATGTAAAACTGTAACTAGAGCGTGTAACAAAAGTAATTTCCCTCTGGGATTATTAAAGTATTTCTGATTCTGATGAAGTGCAGGACAAGTTCTACATTTTCAGTCTGTAAACA